GCCCTGTACCCTGCTGCCTTGTACCTGCTCCCTCTTGTTCCTGATCCCAGTTTTGCTTCCCCCATTCCCATTTGCTTCCTACAGCTCCAGTATTCCCCTGCTTTTCCGTGTTCCCCATTTTGTATATAATATACACTGCTCAAAAAAATTAAAGGAATACTTTGAAAACACATCAGATCTCAATGGGGAAAAATCTCCTGCTGGATATCTATACTGACATGGACGGGGTAATGTGTTAGGAACGTAAGGATGCCCCATCGTTTGATGGAAATGAAAATTATCAACCTACAGAGGACTGAATTCAAAGACACCCGAAAATCAAAGTGAAAAAATGATGCAGCAGGCTAGTCCATTTTGCTGAAATTTCATTGCAGCAACTCAGAATGGTCCTCAGTAGTTTGTATGGCCCCCATGTGCTTGTATGCATGCCTGACAACGTCGGGGAATTCTCCTAATGAGACGACGGATGGTGTCCTGGGGGATTTCCTCCCAGATCTGGACCAGGGCATCACTGAGCTCCTGGACAGTCTGAGGTGCAACCTGGCAGCGTCGGATGGACCGAAACATGATATCACAGAGGTGTTCTATTGGATTTATGTCATTCAATGGTAACCATTCCTTCATCCTCCAGGAACTGCCTACATATTCTCACCACATGAGGCCGGCCATTGTCGTGCACCAGGAGGAACCCAGGACCCACTGCACCAGCGTAGGGTCTGACAATGGGTCCAAGGATTTCATCCCGATACATAATAGCAGTCAGGGTGCCATTGTCTATCCTGTAGAGGTCTGTGCGTCCCTCCATGGATATGCCTCCCCAGACCATCACTGACCCACCACCAAAACGGTCATGCTGAACCATGTTACAGGCAGCATAATGTTCTCTATGGCTTCTCCAGACCCTTTCATGTCTGTCACATGTGCTCAGGGTGAACCTGCTCTCATCTGTGAAAAGCACAGGGCGCCAGTGGGGGACCTGCCAATTCTGGTGTTGAATGACAAATGCCAATCGAGCTCTATGGTGCCGGGCAGTGAGCACAGGGCCCACTAGAGGATGTTGGGCCCTCAGGCCACCCTCATGAAACCTGTTTGTGGCTGTTTGGTCAGAGACATTCACACCAGTGGCCTGCTGGAGGTCATTTTGTAGGGCTCTGGCAGTGCTCATCCTGTTCCTCCTTGCACAAAGGAGCAGATATCAGTCCTGCTGATGTGTTAAGGACCTTCTACGGCCCTGTCCAGCTCTCCTAGAGTAACTGTCTAAGTAACAGAGTAATTGTCTGTCTCCTGGAATCTCCTCCATGTTCTTGAGACGGTACTGGGAGACACAGCAAATATTCTGGCAATGGCACGTATTGATGTGCCATCCTGGAGGAGTTGGACTGCCTGTGCAACCTCTGTAGGGCCCAGGTATCGCCTCATGCTACCAGTAGTGACACTGACCCAAATGCGAAACTAGTGAAAGACAGTCAGAAAAGATGAGTAGGGAAAAATGTAAGTGGCCTCCACCTGTTAAGCCATTCCTGTTTTGGGGGTTGTCTCATTGTTGCCCATCTAGTACACCCTGTGTTGTTAATTTCATTACCACCAAAGCAGCTGAAACTGATTAACAACCCCCTCTGCTACTTACCTGACCAGATCAATATCCCAGGAGTTTCATTGACTTGATGCTAGACTCTGATTAAAAAGGTTTTCTTTACTTTTTTTGAGCCGTGTATATAGTTAATTTTTAGCGAGCCTTTCTGTTTGTTAGGTTGATTAGTTTGGTATTCTGTCACTGGGTTTTTGATTCACTTACTTTTGTATGTTTGCTGTGTTGCTGGTGTTTGGATGGATGTTGGTTTACTGTAAATAAATCTCACTTAAAGCATACACAGTCTGGTCCCAGTTTCCTAAGTGTAGCCACGCAGATTTGCCCATCTCTGCGGCTGATTCCTGACAATATCGCCCAACTTTTAAAAACTTAGGTTGTGTTGAGTAGCTAACAAACTTGTCAAATCTTAAACTTGCGTATGTTTGTGCAATGGTGTCAAAATTCTGCTGGTGATAAATTGTCCATAACAGGGGCGGACTGACAACTCATGGGGCAATAGGGGATCATGGGGCCCCTGTGTCCTTGCCCAAACTCAAAAAGCCTATGAAAAAGGTACCAGGGGCATCTCATGGGGCCCCCTACTGACCCCGTGCCCTCGGGCAGTGCCCGATTTTCCAAATGGTCAGTCTGCCCCTGGTCCATAAAAGCCTTTACAGGTCATCAGTTTGGAGTTGATGGTGATAGATGGCCATAGAATCACGGCTCTCACTGTGGCGTGTGTGCAGCGATACCTAATATGTGTAGTGCAATTGCCAGTTTTGTAGGTAGGCACACCCCAAGTGTGCACTGTGCATGTACGGGAGGGTGGGGACTTTAATTTTTACACTTTTTGGTGAGTGCTTCTCGGGGATGGATTGGGGAGCTGTTATGTCTTGGTGGAAGTGATCAGAAATGTGTAAATCCCTGGGTTCTGCTACCGACGTGTGACATAGGTTAATGGTAGCAAAAGGGTTAAAGAAAACAAACTGTAAAACTTTGCACACCTTTATTCTGGTGCACCTGGAATGTATTTAGCTCATTTAAAAAGCTTCTAAAGTCTATGATCAGTGGTGTCCCAGGGCAGGTGCCACACCAGGTGACACCTATCACACGGGGTAACATCGGACTCCTGTGGGGATCGTCGGCTTGCTTTAAAACTTACCTTTTCGTGGAGCAGGTCGCAATCTGATGACCCCCCAGGAGTCCAATCCATTATGCTCCCAAATCCGCAGATCCAATTCCTCCTGCGGGGATCATCGGCTTGCAACCAATACGGGGTTAACTGATCTCTCCACGAGCTCCGCGAAAAGGTAAATTTTAAAGCAAGCCAATGATCCCCACAGGATGGATCGGATATGCGGGAGTCCGATCCATTATGCTCACCAATCCGCAGATCCGATCCATTCTACGGGGATCGTCGACTTGCAACCTATACGGGGTTAACTGATTTCTCCATGAGCTCCACGAAAAGGTAAGTTTTAAAGCAAGCCGATGATGCCCGCAGGATGGATCAGATCTGTAGGGGATTCCATTCCATTATGCTCCCCAATCCTCAGATCCGATCTATCCTACGGGGATCGTCGGCTTGCAACCTATACGGGGTTGGTCTTGAGAACGCCCGATGGGAGGGGCGAAACGCGTTGACGCATTTCTGGTCTATACTCCATATGTCTGACGTCACTTCCGGTGAGTGGAGCGCGCGCTGAGCGGTGCGTTCCAGCGGCCATCTTTTGGGATCTGTGTATGGGTTTCTCTGTGGATCTTCTGCTGTGTCCTGGAGCTGTAATGTGAGATTCCTGAGGAGGCTGTAAAGTGCTCATTGTCCATCTGGAAGAGGTTGTTTTAATAAATGTGCCTTTTTAAAGTGGCTGAAATGTGAGTGGCCTTAATCTTTGATTTTATTAATACTATCAATTGGCAATATTACACTATTTGAGTTTTTTTCTCCTGGTGGAACGGTGGAGCCTATTCTGATGGCGAGGAATCCTATAGAGTGGATACTAAAGAGGGTTTAGGATCCCTTTAAATCCCTAAAAGGCATCCCATTCACCAAAAATCTGGTGAGTGTATTTGATGTTGGTCTGCACGGGTGGAAGGTGGAAGTTTCTTTGCATCTGAAGAATTTTTTGAATTTTTTATCTCACACGAATTTTTTATATTTCGAATTTTTTATATTTCATGAACTTTTTGGTGTTTATTATGGTGGACATTCACTATTAATATGATTTATGATCAGTAATAATATGCACTTTATATATTAATTGTATTTAGAGGTCTATGTTTGCGCTGTTTATTCATATCTGTTATTGTTTGTGTTTTTTCACATTGCACAGCAGCAGTGTAGATCCTGTAGTAGTTTTCTTTGGCGCAGGAATAATTTTTATTTTTATAGGGGGTTAACTGATTTCTCCACGAGCTCCACGAAAAGGTAAGTTTTAAAGCAAGCCGACGATGCCCGCAGGATGGATCGGATCTGTAGGGGATTCCGATCCATTATGCTCCCCAATCCGCAGATCCGATCCAACCTGCAGGGATCATCTGCTTGCTTTAAAACTTATATTTTCGTGGAGCTTGTGGAGAAATCAGTTAACCCCGTATAGGTTGCAAGCCGGGGCATCCCTAGGGTTGGTGTCACCCGGTGCATTAACACTTGGTGTCACCCCTCCAACGATCCCCACAGGACTCCGATCCATTATGCTCATTCTGCAGATTCGATCCATCCTGTGGGGATCGTCGGAGGGGTGACACCAAGTGTTGCCACACCGGGTGACACCAACCCTAGGGACACAACTGCCTATGATCCACTATGCATTAAGGTAAAAAAAACCTTCTGTTGCAGACGATCCCCCCCAGCCCCACCCCATATAACTAGAAGAGACCGATCTTGCTCCTGCACTGTGTATGAGAGCAGCGGCTCTCCCAGCTCTGTCCCTCTTCACTGGACAGATGGATAGCAGCAAGAGCCTTTGGCTCCCGCTCCTGTCAATCAAATCCTACGACGAGGGAGCAGGGGGTGGGACTGAGGTCTGCTGTCTATGTCAATAGATGCAGACAGGGCAGCTTGAGAGCGAGCCTGCACAAGTGCCCCCATAGAAAGCTGCCTTCTATGGGGGCACTCAGCGGGGGAGGGAGAGCCAGAAGCACCAGCGAGGGACTCGAAGAGGAGGATTGGGGCTGGTCTGTGCGAAATCATTGCACAGAGCAGGTATATATGACATGTTTGTTATTTTCATTTTACAACATTGGAAGCTGTGCAATCACTTTAAGCTGAGCGTTCAGTTGGACTTTGAAGACAAAGTAAATACGCTGTTTCAGGTCAATCCTTTAACATTTGTCAGGTCAATTTTGTATTTCTATTATTTCTCATTTCTATTATGCCCGTGTTCCCCGTACCGTTGTGCCCGTGTTCACCTTTTATATACTCTTTCAGGTGGCCAACCACATAGGAAGTGAGCACCACGAGGTCATGTTTGATGCAGAAGAGGGGATCCAAGCAGTGGATGAGGTCATCTTCTCTCTGGAGACCTATGACATCACAACAGTACGAGCCTCCGTCGGTAAGATCCGGATCTTCGAAGGTCTTTGAAATCCTCAAGGTTTACAAATTGCCTTTATTAAATTAGATGTGTCTTTCCTGGATCGGGCTGCTCTGACCCAGGAGGATAAATGGAACAATCCAGCCCTCTGCAATTCCCAGCATTGTTTGAGATAATAACATTCTTTCTCATTCGGGCAGTAATGTGTGTGCACTGCTTTGAAGAGGAGAATCTTTTGATTTTTCATTGTGCCGAGGCTCCGACATGGCACGAGCTGCTTTTTATATTTCAGTTTTAGTGTTTTTTTTTTTATTGAAGGAATATGAAATATTTGACAAGGAACAGACAACATTAACATAATTATGTTTTATTACAGCTCATGGAGAACAACAAAATACTATAAAGACATTGAAGTGTCTGCTAAATGAAAGGAGGGAATTGATTGTATGTTACTGGAGAATAATGAGATTAGTCAGAAAGTTGTTTGCATGAAAATTTCGGGAAGGAAAGGCGTTTTAAAATGAGATGGAAACGATTATGGTTTTGGGTCAATGTATTTTTTGTTTCATTTACAGTTTTTGAATTGTTATTTTGTATCCATTTTTAATGCAGAGTCTGGGTTGCAATATAAAAGAACTTCATTTTTTTGCTCAAAATAAAAGTATTATTATTATTATAATACAGGATTTATATATTATTATTATTATTATTATTATACAGGATTTATATATTATTATTATTATTATTATTATTATACAGGATTTATATATTATTATTATTATACAGGATTTATATATTATTATTATTATTATACAGGATTTATATATTATTATTATTATTATACAGGATTTGTATATTATTATTATTATTATTATTATACAGGATTTATATAGCGCCAACAGTTTGCTCAGCACTTTACAATATAACGGGAGACAATACAGCAACAATACAGTTCAATACAAGAGGGATAGGAGGACCCTGATCCTGGGAGCTTACAATCTAAGAGTAATTAATAAACAAATAAGTAATTTTTCTTCTTCACTGATGAGGCTGCACTGATAGGAGGTACTGATGAGGAGGTACTGATAGGTTGCACTGATAGGAACTGATGAGGAGGCACTGATGAGCACTAATAAGTGGCACTGGAACTTACAATCTAAGACGGAGGGGCTAGTGGTACAAAAGGTAATAACTGTGGGGGGACAGGTAGGAGGAATAGAAGATTCCATTATTAGCTGAGGGCAGGATAGGCTTCCATGAAGAGATAGGTTTTCAGAGATCTCCTAAAAGAGAGCAGAGTAGGCGACAGTCTCATAAATTGGGGTAGAGAGTTCCAGAGGATGGGGCAAGCTCTGAGAAAGTCCTGGAGACGAGCATGGGAGGAGGAGACAAAGGAGTTATTATTATTATACAGTATTTATAAAGCGCCAATAGTTCGCTCAGCGCTGTACATTACAAAGGGGGACAGAGTTAGAGAGCAGGAGGTCGTGCGAGGAGCGGAGAGGACGGTTTGGGTGATATTTGGAGACAAGATTGGTGATGTAATTTGGGGCAGAGTTATAAAGTAAGGCCCCTTTCACATGAAGGGTCGAATCTGGTCAGTCTGTCAATTTTTCAGCCTTAGCTGATCAGATGCTCCATTTACTCCTATGGACCATTGGCAAGTAAATGGACTCTACTGTCCGTACACCTACCACCAATCCAATCCAGTCTGCTAAAAAAAAAAAAAGTAAGGGGATCCATTCCCCTCCATTTAGGCTGATCAGATCAGAGGGCTGCTGTATGTAAATGAACAGCGGAGTCTGTTTACTCCTGACGGTCCATAGAGCGGACAGATCCCCTGCTGATCATAAAGGAGTTTGTCCTGTGAGAATGGGGCCTACAGAGGGACTCTCCAGTTGGCTGCAGCTGGATGATTGAAACTGTTCCATAGAAGTTTCTTGAACAATCGACTTCTGTTGAACAGGCACAGCCACAAGTGGATCGAAATTGGCTGGTCATGGCAGAACTGGCCAAATTTCAATCCATCTTGCATCCATCATGTGCAATGAATGTGGTTGTGATTAAGTGGTGTGGGTTTTTCAGGGGTTAAAATAGGCGATGAGGAGGCTACAAAACACCTCTTTACCGCCTGTCAAATCCCTTATAAAGAGTGATTCACTCTGGAAAACTTTAAAGGATAAGTTCACCTTTGAGAACGTGTTAAATGTTCCACCTGTTTTTAGGATGGAACATGTAACATGTTCCCAATGCTGCAGCTGCCTCCCGATCCCTGAGATTGTGGACAGCAGTATGGGGAGAAGTTCCTCGTACTAGCTGTCACTTTTTGTATAGAGCATGGCTGTGCAGGTCTCCGCCCACACGGGCTCGTCATTCATTCACAGAGTTCTGTGAATGAATGAAGTTCAAGTCCCGACAGCCAATGCGGCTGTTGGCTTGTAGTTCTGAATGAACTACCACGGCGCTGTGGAGCGCCCTGGTAGTTCATTGGTTCTTCCTATCAGTGTATCTGCTTGCTTGTATGGGATGTACTGACAGATCTGCAGGAGACCTGCCTGGCACCAGCCATCTGCTGATCACTGTTGCAATGGTTTATGGGTTCCTGCAACCAAAAATAATAAATGCACATTTTTTTCACCTGCAGAAAAATGTGCATTTATTATTTTTGGTCAACAGGTGAACTTATCCTTTAAAGAGAATTTGTAAGGATCGAAATATGGAAGCTGTTATTATTGACCTGTGAAAGCCCAATTTTGAGCTCTTCTGTAGTGGCCTCTTTCCCACTGAAGGACACCCACCCCCCTGATTTTTTTTATACTTCCTTTTCCAAATATCTTAGGTTACTTCCTGTAGTATTCACCTAGTACTCATTGGTACTCACCTAGTACTCATTGGTACTCACCTAGTACTCATTGGTATCACCTAGTACTGATTGCTTGGCTTTGGCAAATTAATATACCTCTCTTAATGTACATACCATCCTGTACATCAATATACCTCTCCTATACACCATGACCTCTCCTATATTCATTAATGTACCTCTGTAGTTAGTGTAGGGGGAGGATTGCAGAGTATGTGATGGTGGGTAGTTAGTGCATGAGAGGAGTGCGGAGTGTATGGTGGTGGGTAGTTAATAAAGGGAGAGGAGTGCGGAGTGTATGGCGGTGAGTAGTTAGTGCAGGAGAGGAGTGCGGAGTGTATGGCGGTGGGTAGTTAGTGCAGGAGAGGAGTATGGAGTGTATGGTGGTGGGTAGTTAGTGCAGGAGAGGAGTATGGAGTGTATGGCGGTGGGTAGTTAGTGCAGGAGAGGAGTGTGGAGTGTATGGCGGTGGGTAGTTAGTGCAGGAGAGGAGTGGGAGTGTATGGCGGTGGGTAGTTAGTGAGGAGAGGAGTATGGAGTGTATGGCGGCGGGTAGTTAGTGCAGGAGAGGAGTATGGAGTGTATGGCGGTGGGTAGTTAGTGCAGGAGAGGAGTATGGAGTGTATGGCGGTGGGTAGTTAGTGCAGGAGAGGAGTGCGGAGTGTATGGCGGTGGGTAGTTAGTGCAGGAGAGGAGTGCGGAGTGTATGGCGGTGGGTCGTTAGTGCAGGAGAGGAGTGTGGAGTGTATGGCGGTGGGTCGTTAGTGCAGGAGAGGAGTGTGGAGTGTATGGCGGTGGGTAGTTAGTGCAGGAGAGGAGTGCGGAGTGTATGGCGGTGGGTCGTTAGTGCAGGAGAGGAGTGTGGAGTGTATGGCGGTGGGTAGTTAGTGCAGGAGAGGAGTGCGGAGTGTATGGCGGTGGGGGTAGTTAGTGCAGGAGAGGAGTGCGGAGTGTATGGCGGTGGGTCGTTAGTGCAGGAGAGGAGTGTGGAGTGTATGGCGGTGGGTCGTTAGTGCAGGAGAGGAGTGTGGAGTGTATGGCGGTGGGTAGTTAGTGCAGGAGAGGAGTGTGGAGTGTATGGCGGTGGGTAGTTAGTGCAGGAGAGGAGTGCGGAGTGTATGGCGGTGGGTAGTTAGTGCAGGAGAGGAGTGTGGAGTGTATGGCGGTGGGTAGTGCCCCTGCACACCAAATATCATTCAGTTAGGGTGTATAATTCACCATGTGAGAATATTGTAACATAATATTTGTATTTATTGCAGGAATGTATCTGGTTTCCAAGTATATTCGGAAGAAGACGGACAGCGTGGTTATATTTTCTGGCGAAGGCTCTGATGAGCTCACCCAGGGGTACATCTACTTCCACAAGGTTAATAAGTTTCCTTTTTTTCTCATCTGAATTGTGATTCTTGTGGGAAGATGATGGATGCATTGATGGAATTTCTGTAATTGTTCTGACCGGAATCCGGTGGAATACAGCATGACCCAGAGACACGCCATTTTTTTGTTCTGTTTGAGGGTCACAGACAAACTAATTCCAACGAAGAATATAAAATCCAGATGGCAAAACTTTAATCAGCTTTGTGTGTGCAATGTGCATCTTAAGTAGCAGAAACAGTGAAGGGCGATTTGATTCAGATATACAATACGAAATTTTAATATCAGCTGCAAAATCCAATTACCTCCATAGCACATCACACGGGGACTACAACAACTCCATTATAAAAACTTTGTGAGGATAAAACAAAAATACATTTCAGGGTAAATATTGAGCTGAAATGAACAAACATTCTGATGATGCATCACTTTTCTTTGTTCTAAAACCATTAGAAGTTGCTGTTTGGTCCTCATGCACACGGGACGTTTTTACAGCGGCTGTTTTTGGCTTTTGACGTTTCTTCGTACAGCCAGTAAAACCCCCCAGCATGTTATCCTATGTGTTCATGCACACATAGACTGGAATCAACGTTTTTTTGATAGGGGCATTTTTTGGCTGGAACCCCCCCCCCCCCCAGAACTAGTGGGTTTCTAGAGGAGATTTTTAGATGTAAGCCCTCATGCACACGGGACATTTTTACAGCGGCTGTTTTTGACTTTTGATGTTTTTTTTCTACAGCTAGTAAACCCCCCCAGCATGTTATCCTATGTGTTCATGCCCACGTAGACTGTAATTAACTTTTTTTGATAGGCGTGTTGTTTTGGCTGGAACCCCCCCCCCCAAAATGAGTGGGTTTCTAGAGTTTTTTTAGCTGTAAAAGCGCTCTAACGCTGAAAAACATGGCAAAACGCAGTAAAATGCAGCAAACCTGCGTTTTTGGACCTTTTTTTTGACCAAAAAAAAATTTTTCTGTAAAAAACCTGCTAAAAACGCAAATGCGGAAAAATGCCGGAAAACGCAGCTGATCGTGGCAAAACGCTGCTAAACGGACACCACCCCCCATTGACTTCTCCATCACATCCAACAACCATCAAACCCGCCCCGCAGGCCAGAGTACTTGGTGTCATTCTGGACTCCAACCTATCCTGCCAGCCCCAAGTCCAATTTTTAACAAACTCGTGCAGACTCCACCTCCGCAACATCGCCAAAATCCGCACGTTCCTAACCCCAGAAACCACTAAACAGCTCATCCACTCCCTCATCATATCACGGCTCGACTACTGCAACTCCCTCCTCACTGGCCTGCCTCGCCGCTGGCTATCCCCGCTTCAGTCCATCCTGAATACGGCTGCCAGACTCATTCACCTTTCCAACCGCTCCGTTTCCGCCACCCCCCTCTGCCAATCCCTCCACTGGCTTCCGATTGCGCAACGGATCACATTCAAAATCCTAACACTGATGTACAAAGCCGTCCACCATACTGCCCCGAACTACATCACTGACCTAATATCCAAGTACCGCCCAGCACGCACACTCCGCTCCTCACAAGACCTCCTTCTCTCTAGTTCCCTGGTCTCCTCCTCCCATGCCCGCCTCCAGGACTTCTCCAGGGCGTCACCCATCCTCTGGAACTCTCTGCCCCAACCCATCAGATTATCACCTACTCTCCTCTCCTTTAGGTGCACCCTGAAAACCCATCTCTTCAGGGAAGCCTACCCCACCCCATGCTAACCTGCCAACCTCCTCCACTCTTCCTACCACTCCATCCCCCACAGCTATCTCCTCTGTGCCACCATCCCCTCCCTCCTAGATTGTAAGCTCGAAAGAGCAGGGCCCTCAATCCCCTCATGTTTTGCATTGTATTGTTATTGTTCTGTCACATGTTCTGTCCCCCTTTGTAATGTACAGCGCTGAGCGAACCTTTGGCGCTTTATAAATACTGTATAATAATAATAATAATAAACGCTAATGCAAAAAAGCTGAAAAACTCACGTTTTTAACATGACTTTACACAGCTAACGTTACCAAAACATCCAGTGTGCATGGGGGCTAAAAATGCTCTAACGCTAAAAAACGCAGCAAAATGTTTTTTTTGGTCAAAAGATTGCTAAAAACACAAACGCGGAAAAATGCAGGAAAGTGCCGATATTTGCAGCTAAATGCTAATGGAAACACGTTAAGAAAAGCTGAAAAACTCAAGTTTTTAATGTGACTTTACACAGCTAACATTAGTAGCATTATCAAAACGTCCAATGTGCATGAGGGCTAAAAATGCTATGAAAACGCAGTAAAACGTGGCAAACTGACGTTGTTGGACTTCTTTTGAGCAAAACATTTTTTTTTTTTTGGTCAAAAAAACCTCTAAAAAACAGTAAAAAATGCAAACGTGGAAAAACGCCTCTAAATGCTAATGAAAAAACACTAAAAAAACGCTGAAAAACTTGCATTTTTAACATGACTTTACACAGCTAATGCTACCAGCGTTATTAAAACGCCCCGTGTGCATGGAGCCTTCATGAGTGAGTGCTTATTGGCTTACATCCTCTTGTTGCTTGCCTGTCGATGAATGTAGTTTTTAAAGGATACTTGTCTTGATGAAATATAGATTGCTAATGTCTCCTTCCTAATTAATGCTGTTCATCTGGTTGTCATATTGATCCAGTGTCTCCAGCATTTTGTGAGTCCCTGACCCATAGCAAGTACATGTTACAGGATTATCGGTGATCTAAATACAAAGAACTATGACAAAGATACAGCTTGCAGTATCTGTATCAAAGAGGAGAGCACAAAACACGTGTTGCTCACTTGCATTCCGAGTTTAATGTGTTTAACAGAAATGGGTCACATTATACAGATAATTGCTTTTTTTAAAGTGGTAGCGCAGGCCACATGGAAAAGCGCATCAATTTGTATCAGAGAGTTACAATTAACAACATATAGGATACTAAACAGAGAAAGTGAATGTCTAAACAAACCCAAAACTGAACAAGTATAGCAGAAACAAAGTGTGACTAACCTTTATCAAAGAGGAGGCTTTAGATTGCTCTGCAACTGGATTTATATGCATCTGAGATTGAGATAGTTTTCTTCCTCTACAACTGTTAGTTCAACCTGAAGTTTAGAAGGAGGTCACACTAGGCTAGTTGTCTTCCTATACAACCCTTAGGTCTTCCTGAGATTTGGATGGAACTCACACTGGGATGATGGTCTTTCCTATACAGCTGGTAGGTTTTTCTGATATTTAGATGGGGTTCACACTGGGTTGGTGGTCTTTCTATACAGTTGGTAGATCTTCCTAAGATTTTGATTGGGTGGTAGCCTTCCAAAACAGGCAGTAAGTCTCTTTGAGGTTTAGATGGAGCTCACACTGGGATGGTGGTCTTCCCATACAGATGGAAGTTATTTCTGAGATTTAGATGGAGCTCACACTGGGATGGTGGTCTTCCCATACAGATGGAAGTTATTTCTGAGATTTAGATGGAGCTCACTCTGGGATGGTGGTCTCCCCACACAACTGGAAGTTATTTCTGAGATTTAGATGGAGCTCACACCTGGATGGCAGTCTTCCAATACAGCTAGAAAGTGTTCCTGAGATTTAATTGGGTGGTGGTCTTCAAAAACAGGCAGTAGGTCTCTGAGCTTTAGATGAAGCTCACACTAGGAGATGGTCTTCTCATACAACTGATAGGACTTTCTAAGGTTTAGGTGGAGCTGATGCTGAGATGGGGTCTTCACATACAGCTCTCCCTGATTTGTAGATGAAGCTCACAATGGGTACCGGTCATTCATTACAGCTTGTAGGTCTTCCCGAGTTTAGATAGAGCTACAGCTGGGCTGGTGGTCTTTCTTTGCAACTGTTGGGAGTTACTTGGATTTATAGCAAGCTCAGATTGGGTTGGTTGTTTTTACATGCAGCTGGCTATTTAAGTTCAATAATGCACAATGGAGTTGGGTGACCCCCCCAGTAATGAGTGGTCAAACAATACTCTGTATACTCTGCAAGGATATCTAACTTCTTCAAGATGGTTTGCCAGACAACCGCACTGCTGTGTTCCCACAGATCAATGTACAATTGGACTTGTGGACAATGGCATTATAAAGAGAGAAAGAAGACACTGTTCCAGAGTCAGAACACACGCCACCGTGCATGCGTGAACTAGCTGCGGCCATCTTGGTTCTGGGAAAACGATTGATACATGTGATGTGAAGTTCCTGTTTACCATCCTTCCATTGTAAGTGCATTCACCTTATTAAATCTGCATACTCTACTGGTTTACACTATGAGAAGTGTCTTCTTTCTTTCTTTCTGATGCCCTTGTACATGAGTCCAATTGCACACTGATCTGTGGGAAAAGAGCGGTGTGGCTGTCTGGCAAACCATCTGGGAGAAGTTTGATATCCTTGTCAAGTATATAGAGTGTTGTCTGACCACTCATTACTTGAGTCATTCAATTCCAGTAACCCCCCCCCCCCCCCTTTTTTTTTTTCACACTGAAGTGGTGTGTGGCTTTACTATGGGGATATTCAGAGGCTTTTTTTTCAGATGTTTTCATGATTTGATATTTCACTTTTTTTGTAGTTTTATATCGCTGCACTATTGCTTATTATGTTTGTGGGAACCAGGGGCGGACTCACAACTCATGGGGCCCCCGGGCAATAGGGGATCATGGGGCCCCTGTGTCCTTGCCCAAACTCAAAAAAGCCTATGAAAAAGGTACCAGGGGCATCTCATGGGGCCCCCTACTGACCCTGGGCCCTCGGGCAGTGCCCGAGTTTCCAAATGGTCAGTCCACCCCTGGTGGGAACCATGTATTAGGGTATTGTCAGCTGCTACCTATTGTTTTATACATTGGAGCCCCAGCATGTTTTATCTTTTTAGGTTTTAATAATGTACAATGACAATTCTCTCACAGGCACCATCTTCAGAAGAGGCAGCAGAAGACAGCGAGCGCCTGCTACGGGAACTCTACATGTTCGATGTGCTGCGTGCTGACCGGACAACAGCTGCCCATGGGTAAGCAAGTTATTGTAAAAGTCATGTAAGACCAGCTAAACAGGTGGAATGCAAGCAGTTTGGTATAATGGTTGTAGACATCAATCAAGCATACATTGCAGGAACTAGGCTATGACACAACACTGACTTTTGTTCCATTTTGACCCCAAGGCTAGAACTCAGAGTGCCTTTCCTGGATCATCGATTCACAGCTTACTATCTGTCTCTGCCTCCTGAACTACGAATTCCTAAGGTAACCGATTACATTAACACAAACATTTTGAATTCAATGATGCAATTGTGTCACGTTGTGGCCGGAGTTTGATCTCCCATTGGGCACTTGTAGGCACTGCGAGTCTACAAACCATATGTGCGCCATGTGTCTATTAAGATCCACCTTCCTTGTTGGGAAGGTAAGTGAGAGGATAAATCTCGAGACCATACACATCAACCGTAAAAGCCAAAATGTTTATTAACAGCACTATTTCTAAAAACTTTTTGGATGACCGTCCACTCCAATTATTCAAGTTGTTAGAATAACAAGCATAATCCAGGCACCAGGATGCAATTTCCAGTCACCATGGTGATCTGGCACCTGGGATTTGTTGAGCCCTGAAGTAGGAAATGGTTTAAAGCCCTACTTGGTGTTTGTTTTAGCATCTGTGTGCCATTGGGGAGTTTTCCTTCGCTTCCTGTCTTGAGACACAAAAAGGAACTGAGAGCAAATCTCTTCAAATTTAGGGAACTCCTCTCTTAGTTATTGTTGAACAGGGGCGGACTGACAACTCATGGGGCCCCTGGGCAATAGGGGATCATGGGGCCCCTGTGTCCTTGCCCAAACTCAAAAAAGCCCATGAAAAAGGTACCAGGGGCATCTCATGGGGCCCCCTACTGAGCCCGGGCCCTCGGGCAGTGCCCGAGTTTCCAAATGGTCAGTCCGCCCCTGTTGTTGAATCAAGTCTTCCCATTAGAAGATTTCACCTCTGGTGACAACTGAACATTTTGGATTTTCCCATCAATTTCAGTTCTAGAACAATTAGGAAGAGTGAACCTTTTCCTAGCAAGGACACAGGGGTCTTGTATCTTTACTGTTCTATCTAAAACAAAAAAAGACAATTTTAGCTTTAGAAGAAATATTTTATGAAAGAAAAATGGAGACTGCCATTGCTGACTTTCTATTCTGCAAATGCTGATTGCCTGGCTGTCAGGATTATCCACTGGCTTTATACTTTCAGTCATTAACCTGAAAACATTATTTAAATCTGAAATTCTAATGTTATCTTAGCTGATTTGCATGCTTGTGGTCAGAAAATACTGAAACCAGAGGCTCATCATAAAAGTTAGGCAACTAGTATTTTCCAAGGGGGGGCAGCAATACTTGTCCAAATATGTCCAAATATTTCCATTATCATTGACTTACTTTAAAGTGGTTCTAAAGGCAGGAGATTTATTACCTTAATACATTCTATGCATTAAAGTAAAAAACCTTCTGCATGCAGGGTTCCCTATACTTATCTGAGCCCGATCTGAAACCAGCACTGTGCATGAGAGTAGAGGCTCTCTGCTCTCTCTCACCTCATTGGCTTAGAGGCAGCAGTAGGAGTCATTGACTCCTGCTGCTGTCAGTCACAGTTAGTGATGAGAGAGCAGGGGTAGGGCTGAGCTGCGCTCTGTGTGTCAATGGATGCACAGAGCATGGCTCAGGAGTGCGCTCGCATGTGTGCCCCCATAGCAAGCCACGTGCTTGACAGGAGGGTGGAGCCAACAGTGTCAGTGGGGGACCATTGAAGAGGAAGATTGGGGTTGCTCTGTTCAAAATTATTGCACAGATCAGGTAAGCATGACATGTTTGTTGTTTTAAAAAAAATGACCCTTTACTATCACAGCTTAACTTCTCCTCAATCTTGATTTCTGAGTTTTGGATAGACCCAAATGAAAGAAAAATATATTTGAAATATATTTAAAAAATATTCTGAAGAATATATTAAAAAAAAAATGTTAAATTTTTTTTTAAATTATATTCTTCAGATTTTTTGGAACATATAAAAAAGTCATTTTAACATATATTTTTCACATATATTTGTAAATGCATTCCAAAAATGCAGAATTGTATTTTAAAGACATACAGTATATTTGAAATGTATTTTTAAAAATATTTTTCATATATTAAAAACGCACATATATGTGTATGTGTGTGTGTATGTATATATATATAAATATATATATATATATATATATACAGTATATATATATATATATATATATATATATATATATGTGTGTGTATATTATATATATATGTGTGTGTATGTATGTATATGTGTGTGTGTATATATATATATATTAATATATTTGGGAAAAATATTTTTAAAATATATTTTCACATATATTTTTCTTCCAAATAGGGACTTAGGAAGAATAAATACTTTAGTCAATTTTTTATTGCAATCTCTGACTCCATTCGGAAGATTTCACCTCACTTCCTGGTCCCTGTGACATCAAGAGAAAAATATGATGGGATCAGTTATCACTGGGACTGAAAGATGCCGGCAGTAATATTAGTTACTGACTGAGGTTCAAACCCTTTCCCTTTTTATAAGTGTTTTGGTGCAGTGTGTGTCCCCCCTGGAGGGAAAACTCAGGGCATCTGACCCTTCCTTACTCTGTCCAACGCTAAGAACAAGTTTTGGCTAGAATAAGGCTTTAATGGAAACAAGTAACAAATATTTCTCTGTCTCATCACAGAATGGAATAGAAAAATACCTTCTGAGGGAAGCCTTCGAGAACTCTGATCTCCTCCCTAAAGACATTCTGTGGCGGCCAAAAGAAGCATTCAGCGACGGAATGACATCCATCAAGAAGTCCTGGTTTAAAATCCTGCAGGACCACATAGAACAGCAGGTACTACTATCACAGTGCTTGTTAAGAAATGATGTACAAATACAATGTACAGATCCAGTATTGACAGAAAGATTGAATCTGGCAAATAATACGGCTAATGGCAACATTCAGTATATGAAGTTTCTTTTTTTTTATTTCAAAGGCTTTATTTTACCTTTTGTGGATTGTGGGTGTATGATATGTGAGCTCTAAACAGCCATTACTGACTCCTCCTTCTCCTTTTAGCAATTATTATTATTTTTTGTTATTTAAATTTTCAACCACTAATAGGTTCCATGCATACTGGACTTAAAAATTGCTGCTTCTACAGGAGTTTTGCTTTTTTTTTTCTGCCTGTAGAAGCAGCTCAGTGTGCCAATGCACTTAGATTGTTTAGAACAGGGGTCTCCAAACTGCGGCCCGAGGGCCTGATGTGGCCCTTTACTAACCTTTATCCGGCCCTTGGGGCACTATTCCTCCCAATGATATGAGGTACTATTCCTCCCACAGACACCAACAATGGGACACTATTTCTTACACTGATACCAATGATGGGGCACTATTCCTTCCTCTGATACCAATGATGGGGCACTATTCCTCCCACTGATACCAATGATGGGGCACTATTCCTCCCACTGATACCAATGATGGGGCACTATTCCTCCCACTGACACCAATGATGGGGAACTATTCCTCCCACTGACACCAATGATGGGGCACTATTCCTCCCACTGACACCAATGATGGGGAACTATTCCTCCCACTGACACCAATGATGGGGCACTATTCCTCCCACTGATACCAATGATGGGGCACTATTCCTCCCACTGATACCAATGATGGGGCCTATTCCTCCCACTGATACCAATGATGGGGCACTATTCCTTCCACTGATACCAATGATGGGGCACTATTCCTGCCACTGATACCAATGATGGGGCACTATTCCTCCCACTGATACCAACGATGGGACACTATTCCTCCCACTGACACCAACGATGGGGTACTATTCCTTCCACTGACACCAACGAGGGGGCACTATTCCTCCCACTGATACCAATGATGGGGCACTATTCCTCCCACTGATACCAATGATGGGGCACTATTCATCCCACTGATACCAATGATGGGGCACTATTCCTCCCACTAATACCAATGATGGGGCACTATTCCTCCCACCAACACCAATGATGGGGCACTATTCCTCCCACTGATACCAATGATGGGGCACTATTCCTCCCACTGACACCAATGATGGGGCACTATTCCTCCCACTGACACCAATGATGGGGCACTATTACTTCCATTAATACCAATCATGGGTATTAATGGTATTAATGGGAGGAATAGTACACCATGTTTATTTATCACAATCCTGCCCTCCTAAAGTTTGAAGGACAGTAAACCGATCCTTTGTTTGAAAAGTGTGGAGCCCCCCTGGTTTAGAGGGAAATTTTAGGCTCCGCATTTAGAAGCAGAAAAACAAACCCTTCTCTATTGTGTTTTTGAGGGGAGTTATCTAGAAGAAAAAAAAACGCGTGTGTGTGTATGTATATATATATATATATATATTTTTATACATATATTTATATATATATATATATATATATATATATATATATATATACACAGGCGTACCTCGGTTTACGAAAGTATTTCGTTCTGCGGGACTTTTCGTATTGCGAAAAATTTGCGGTTTCTCATAGCAATACATTGAAATTGAATTAATCTGTTCCGGAGGTCGTAAAAAAAAAAAGTCTTTTATCTGTTAAAAACTCTTTATAAAGTGCACTTTAAAGGCATAATACTGTACAGGGACATGATTTAAAAAAAAAAATTGCAAATACATTGAAAACCAATTAATCCGTTCGTATTGCGAAACAAATTCGTAAACTGAGGCATTATTTTCAATGGATTTTCATTCGTAAACCGAAAATTACGTTAACCAAGGCGTTCGTAAACCGAGTTACTCCTGTATTTAATATATCATGGAGCCAAGCAGTAGGTGGTATAGAATGAAATAATACTTTTTATCTACAGTAATGATAATTGTTTTTAAGCTGCCAAGTCAAATTAGAAAAAAAAATACTTTTTGTTACATTTTTGTCTGCCTGAAAAATTTAACTATTTATGCAAGACAATATCATCAAAAGAAAGCCTAAATAATAGCACAGGTATCACTGAATCAATGAGCTCATAAAGAAAAAGTACAAATTGCTGTGGTCCAAAGTAGTTATATACAGGTGTTAGAGCTGAATGAGATTAAAGCTGAATTTCAGGAATTCAGCCACTTAGTAAAACAATGTCATGCACCTCCTTGGACTTAACTCATAGTGTCATAATGATAGTATGAACCTGCGCTAAATGCGGCACATATAGTGAGATATCAGCTATCACAAAATGTAGGCAGCATATCATGCAACTAGAAGACCAATACATAGCACTGATTCACCCCACATCTACACAAAATATAATAAAACAATATAATCAAAATAAAGTCCTCAAAGTAAGTCCATGAGATGTGACTATAAATTATATAAAACCCATGTCCGCGGGAAGAAACTGTGCCACAAAAGAGAAGAAAAGGGATCCTCCACCGTCTCCACTCGCAGCCTCTTGCCAGAGAATGACCATAGGTCATGCAGTCAAAAACAGCAAGTATGGGGAGTCAATGGAGGTAACCCAAGTCCATGGGAAGAAACTGTGCCACAAAAGAGAAGAAAAGGGATCCTCCACCATCACCACTCACAGCCTCTTGCCAGAGAATATGACCACAGGTCATGCGGTCAAAAACAGCAAGTATGGGGAACAGGGGCGGACTGACAACTCATGGGGCCCCCGGGCAATAGGGGATCATGGGGCCCCTGTGTCCTTGCCCAAACTCAAAAAAGCCTATGAAAAAGGTACCAGGGGCATCTCATGGGGCCCCCTACTGACCCCGGGCCCTCTGGCAGTGTCCGAGTCTCTAAATGGTCAGTCCGCCCCTGATGGGGAATCAATGGAGGTAACCCAGGTCCATGGGAAGAAACTGTGCCACAAAAGAGAAGAAAAGGGATCCTCCACCATCACCACTCACAGCCTCTTGCCAGAGAATATGACCACAGGTCATGCAGTCAAAAACAGCAAGTATGGGGAGTCATGGAGGTAACCCAAGTCCACGGGAAGAAACTGTGCCACAAAAGAGAAGAAAAGGGACCTTCCACCATCACCACTCACAGCCTTTTGCCAGAGAATATGACCATAGGTCATGCAGTCAAAAACAGCAAGTATGGGGAGTCAATGGAGGTAACCCAAGTCCATGGGAAGAAACTGTGCCACAAAAGAGAAGAAAAGGGATCCTCCACCGACACTACTCACAGCCTCTTGCCAAAGAATATGACCACAGGTCATGCGGTCAAAAACAGCAAGTATGGGGAGTCAATGGAGGTAACCCAAGTCCATGGGAAGAAACTGTGCCACAAAAGAGAAGAAAAGGGATCCTCCACCATCACCACTCACAGCCTCTTGCCAGAGAATATGACCACAGGTCATGCGGTCAAAAACAGCAAGTATGGGGAATCAATGGAGGTAACCCAAGTCCATGGGAAGAAACTGTGCCACAAAAGAGAAGAAAAGGGATCCTCCACCGACACTACTCACAGCCTCTTGCCAGAGAATATGACCACAGGTCATGCGGTCAAAAACAGCAAGTATGGGAATGGGAATCAATGGAGGTAATGAATCTACAACAAATCTTCTCTGCCAGAGAATTTCCACCAATTTGTTTTGACTTTTCCTGGCATCTGATAATGTTCCTCTTGTATGATAGAGCTGGGAAAATAACCCAGTCTTGCTGTATACTCCCCGTATTCATCTCCTTGTACACTGCACAGCCAGAAGAGGCGTCCTCAGCCCTTTAGCTTGGAGTAGATGTGCGGCATTTTTCCACGTCTAAAATTGGGATGAAACGACAGTCTGGGGGAATGTAGTCAGACAGAGCTACCGCAATAGAAATAGGATCTTCAGGAGAGACCACAAAAAGAGAACGGAACCTTATACTTTAGGGCAGATTGGACTTTCGTTTGGTGGTAAATTTTAATGGATACCTCCTGATTTTGATTTAATACGAAAGCAAAACTGTCCCAAAATAGTAAAAAAAAAAGGTTTTTATTATAAATTTTAGCTGTATACAGTATATTTACGCCATTACAATAACCCACCACCAAAAAACCTGCAAAAAAAAATTCTCATAATCCTGATGAATGTGGCAATACCACATATGTGTTCATTATATTTTTTTTGTACCTATAGTAGAGCCAAGAAGCGAAAGTACTCATTTATTTAGATTTCTTCCTGCAGAAACATACTGACACTAACCCCTGCACTGACACTAAGTAGAAAACCTTTTTTCCTACCTAATCAGTGGTCTATTTAGGTTTTGTGCTGCCCTAGGCAACACAAAAATCAGCGCCCCCCTGCAGAGAGAGCCTGACATAGACCAACAACACCCCTGACTCCCACCCGAGAGAACCTTCCACTACTACTGCCCCCCCCCATACACCAGCCACCATCCCCCATGGCGAGAGAAAGACACTCACCTTCACAGCTCCGGACATCCCCAGGAACGAGAGCCGGGCTGTGCATACACCGTCATGTAACCCGCAACCTCTCTTGGAACCCACCAGGTCCCCATGCCGTGTGTCCCTTCTTCCGAGGGTCAGTGCTGCCCCCCCTGAAAAATGCCGCCCTAGGCAAATGCCTTGTTTGCCTTGTGGTAAATACACCCCTGACCCTAATGCTGCCACTAACTGACACTGACACTAACCGATTCTTACACTGACACTCACTAGACTAGATCAAGCCCTGATCTATTTAGTATTTATTTCATTAATTATTTTTTTCAAGAGACTTTTTTTTTATGATGGACTCCTGTGCAATGTATCCCTTCATACAGGAGAAACAGCATGGAGGGGGGTGGGACCATCACAGTAGTTATCATTGTGATTGGCTAATCACCCCCTCATTTCACATACATGCTCCTT